AATATTTTTGATATCGGAAGAAGAAATTTCTTCTCTTGTTTGGATTTGAAAATAATCAACATGACGTCAAAATTAAAAATAGCTTTAATACAATTTCTTGGTTCATCATCCAAACAACAGAATATAACACGAGCATGTGAATTAATCCGTCAGGCAGCATCGAATGGTGCACGTCTTATTGTTCTACCTGAAATATGGAATAGTCCATATGGTGTAAAATATTTTTCTCAATATGCTGAAACAATACCTAGTGGTGAAACAGTTCAAGCATTGAGTACATGTGCTCGTCAATCGAATATTTATCTTGTTGGTGGTTCAATACCGGAACGTGATGGTGATAAACTTTATAATACATCAACTGTGTTTGATCCAAATGGAAAGTTATTAGGAATATATCGTAAAATACATTTATTTGATATTGATATACCCGGTAAAATAACATTTAAAGAAAGTGATGCATTATCACCTGGTCAACAATTATTTACATTTGATATTGATGAAAAATATCGTGTTGGTCTTGGTATTTGTTATGATCTTCGTTTTCCATCATTAGCAACATTATATTCACAACGACAATGTCATGTTTTACTTTATCCAGGAGCATTTAATACAACAACAGGTCCACCACATTGGGAATTATTATTACGTTCACGTGCACTTGATAATCAAATGTATGTTGCTGGTATAAGTCCAGCACATGATGAACAAGCAGATTATAAATCATGGGCACATACAACATTAGTTGATCCATGGGGAACTGTTATGAGTAAATGTGAAATGAATGAAGAAATTATTTATGGTGATATTGATATCGAACATCTAAATGCAATAAGAAAACAATTACCATATTTATCACAACAAAGAAATGATATGTATACGTTAAACAAAAAGAAAGCTGAAAAATAAATTGTGCTTCGAAAAAAAAACATTTCATTTTGATTTTTGATAGTGTTGAAATTTTTATTTGATTATTTATAAAAATATATGACTAATGTTCATCATAGATAACATTACTCAAAAGTGAATTCTTTTTTTTCCTAGATAAATATTTATGGGTGATATAAACTCAAATGGGAATATAGGTGAATCAATTGCAGATACAGACAATATTCATAGTGATACTATTCCTGTTGGTGACGAACACAAAGAACAAGAAGAACCTTCAGAAACTGAAGGTTTGTATTTCAGTCTACATAATTATTTTTCAGTTTTATCGTATATTTAGCATCAAAAGATAGTCCAATGGGTATGTATTGTGGTGCGTCTTTGTTTATCTAATTTCTTGCCTAAAAATTTTAACTATATTTTTCTACTTATTGTAAACATTTTATTATACTTGTTTAAAATTTAATCTTCATGTTTCTTTTTAGGTTGCGGATCAACAAAAGAAAACGATGCAAATGATAATGACTCTAGTAATAAATTATTTTTTCTCTATTGTTTATTAGTTACTAATTTCATTCATTTAGACAAAAAATCAATACAAAAAACTGGTCAGTCACAACTTCAACAACCGTCTAGCAATGACAGAATGGATAGTGATGAAGATTCTCACAATAAATCATCAAAAGTAACAGGATAATTATGTTTTTTTCGACATAAATAATCACTGGATATCTCTAGAAATCAAAAACGATAAGTGATGATGATGATGACGATAATAATAATCGAGGTGGATCTGGCCGTCATACACGTTCATCTGCTACTTTATCTAAACTTCGTATTAATTTTGAAGACTCCGGTGATGAAAATGAAGATTCACGTCATTATTCCTATTCTAAACGAGATATAGCTGAATATCGTAATCATTATCCAAATGCACGATCAAATCCAAAAATACATGATAATTATGATTTTTATACAAATCAAATACGTTCTCATCCAGATGGTGATTTCATTGATAAAATACATAAGAACTGGTTTGGTGATCATAGAAAGTTAGAATATCATCATGGTTATATCCAATGGTTATTTCCATTACAAGAACGTGGTCTTAATATATCTGCTGAGCCATTACAAAAACATGAAATCGAGTCAATTAGCAAGGATGAAAAAGCATTGGAAAGACTTCTAAAATCTTATAAACTCATGTAAAATTATTCATGAATTGTATTTATAAATGAAAATTTGTTTTTTTGTAGGCTTGATTTTTATGGTTTTAAATTAGTGGATGAAAATACAGGCGAAATACGCCGTTTATCTGGTGATTCTTATAAATCACGTTTTCGTAATCTCGACACATCATCACATAATTATTTACGTATTACTGTAAGTCTTCTCATATTCATAAAATTCATTTATATATATATGTTTTTCTCTTCAACTCTTTGTAGCGTATATTAAAATGTTTGGGTGAATTTAAATATGAATATCTCAAATTTTCTTTTCTGGAAGCAATCTTACGAGAAAGTATTACTGAAAATAAATTATCAAATTGTCTTCGATCATGTAAAGATTATTGGATTGAAACATTACGTAGTCCTGATGAACGACGTGCTATTCGACAGTATGCAAGAGAATTAGTGGAATATCGAAATAAAGGAATGACACCACCTAAATCACATAAGGCTCATCGTCCACAACCGACATCAGTGGCAAGTGATAAAACTGAAAATAGGTCGTTATCAAAAGGTGATGATGATGACAACATGGATCATTAAAATTGATATATTTGTGATAATAAACTAGAACTATTTTTTGAATATTAAATGTTTTCTTTTATCAATAAAACATAATACTTAACTAAGAATAGTAGTGCGCGGATGAATGAGAACTCATTAACAAACTGACCTACATCGACATCCAATATTTCCATATATCACACATTAATTCAACAATTGCTAGGGTGTTTTAAAATAAAAGTAATTCATAATTAATTAATTCAATTTTACAAATATTTTTTTCTTTAATGAGAAATAAAAGTTTTTATTTCTTCAAATTTACTTTATAAACTTTCATAAACATTCAAAAATATCAAAATTCAATGTAAAATTAATTAAAATTTATAGAAAGATTACATATTTTGACTTAAATTAGTTCTCTTTAGTGATATTAACTTTTTGTTTATTTAATAAAAGGTGTTGCTCTGGCAGATCAATGTTACCACTGATCCGCACAATTTCGTCATCGCAACATGTATTTAATCATATTAAGATTATTTACCTCTTGGTAAGTTGTAATAAGCAACTTTTCTCGATAGTGTGTGGAGCACGACATCTACTTTGTCTTTACACATGTCACTCTTTTCTTTCATTCTCTCCAAATCGTATACGTAACGACCAAAGATATATAGTAGTCCATATACTATCGAGAAAAGTTGCTTATTACAAACTTACCAAGAGGTAAATAATCTTAATATGATTAAATACACGTTGCGATGACGAAATTGTGCAGGCTGATGGTAACATTAGCCTGCCAGAGCAACACCATTTTTTTTATGAAAACGAAAAAGAATAAAAAATATTGAAAAAAATCTACGCTTTGATTTATGTAAAAGCTTACATTATTCTCGCACAATAGTCATCATCAATAAACTATATACTGTAATGTTAGAAGTGACAACAAACTAGATTCTATTTTCTTTCGTTGAAAAATGTCTGATGACACTCCTGTTCGTGAGTTATCCTATGCTTTATCCAATTTTAAGGAATAATATATAATTTAACAAAATTAATCAGTTCATCTTCGATAACAAACAAAAGTACAGCGAACATATCATAATCGATCAAATTAAATTCTTATTTTATCTTCACACATTCTTTCTATGATAAACGATACTAATCATGCATTTGAATTATAACTCTAATAAATAAGAATATATATGAATTAAATTAGTGCTTTTCTTATTTATATTAATATTTGTTGTTCAGTTTCATATGCATTCATAATGTGCTGCTTATATCAGACATGTATGTTTTTTGTTAATATGAATAAATAATAAATATTTTGTCAGATGTATATTTACTTGTTTACGATTTATATTTTTTCCTACAGATATATTTTTTGGTGAATGTATAATGTTATCTTTCGTTTAACTCTACAACTATATGAGTCTAATGCATGTAGATTTCTTATCATTTCCTATTCAATCCTTTGTATTCAAAAAATAAATATTTTATTTTAATATTAAGTGAAAAGATTAGAGAATAAATGATAAATATTTCAATGAAGATAACAGCCTACTCTGATGTGAGATGTTTAGTTCTATACAACAAATTAATTTTTTCAAGTTTGACCAATGTTGTTATATGGAAATGATGAAGTTCATCAATTGAAAAAGATATTACGAATTTAAAATCGATATCTATAAATAATTATATTTGTCATAGAAAAATAAATACATCGAAAATCTCTTTACTATATTTTACTCTTTTGATACTTTCTGTCAGTACGTTTGTGTGTAAATGAGTGTACAGGTGTCATATTTAACAAGTAACGCTCGTCTAAGGACTCGCTTAGCTCTTTCTCGTAGAAATGTTGTTCTACAATGCTACGGGACCTTTTGCTTATATAACTTGCAAACACTAACATCAGATTCGAAGTGCCCGACCTCAAAAACCATTTCGTTAAATTTTATATGAAAAAAACGTTTTTTATAAAAAAAATGGTCGTTTGCCTCAAAAAAGTTTTTTTATAGAATTTTAAAAAACTAACATCAGATTCGAGGTCCATGTATCGAAATACCTCTAGAAATGTCTTTTCTGCAAAAATTGGTCTTCGATGTTTTTTTGACCCTGCGGACAGACAAGTAAGCAAGCAAGCAACCAAACAATTTATTTCTGCTGGACTCTTCTCTACGAGAAAGAGAACTTATCCTCATATTCAAACATATTGTTCTGTTTATTCATTAGATACATAAGAAATAAAATAATATATAATCTTCGATATTATGAACGAATTGTTCGAATTTGCAAAGACTTTATTGAGAGTTAATATCGTCTGTAAATGGTACTGACAAGAATCCACCAATTTGTACAACAACATCACTTGTTCGGTTAATACCAAGCGATTACAATGATAATGACAATAATAGTTCAAAAATTCGAAATCTATTTGCAGATGTTATTTCATCTTTTTCAGCTTGTGACAATGAGCAAGAATGCTACCCAGGACAATGGTTCCTGACGCAAGATTCCATGAATTTCTGCCAAAATCCGTGAGGAAACTTGCAATTTCTGGTCGTAACCCGTCCGAAAAATGCCAGGAATCCGATGGAAAACTGATGTAACCGTATCCGGCTCCCGGTTTTGTCATGTTCCTGTTCGTTCCGGTCCAAACCAGATAAATCCGGTCACCGGATTCGTTCAACGGGAATACTGCTTCCATAAAATCTCCGGAATAACACGGAACCGGCCGTTTCCGTGCCGGATTGTTCGATCTGGATATGATCAATCAAGTTCCACAAAAAATGGGATTAAAAACAGTTTCATTCATCTTTGTGCTCGATTAATATAGGATCTAATTGCTCATTACATTAAACTGCGTGACGCGTACAATGATGAAAAACATCCAGCAGATGCAAAAGAAATGTGTCGAAAAGCGAAGGAATTGTGTGAACTTCTTTTAAAACTTTGAACAAATAAAAATCCACTTTTTGTTTCAAATCATGTTATTTCTTTCTTTTTTCACTTTGTTCTAGATGCAAACAATAGCTGATATCGCTTTCGATGATGCCTTATATTTACAAGGCTACCGGTTGATGGTGATCTTACACGATATTAATCGTTTTTCAACGGCGATTCCATTGCCAAGGACGATGGTTCCTGAAGCAACATTCCATGAAATCTCCGGAGTACTATGGAACCGACCGTTTCTGTGCTGGATTGTCTGATCTGGGCAGTCATATTTTATGATGGACGTACAATTGGTAATAGTTTCAGTAGTGTTGTATGTGAGATGCATACTGATGAGAATATCAATCGTCTATTTTGTTGATATTACACATATTAGTAAATGTAAAGATGAGGAAGAAATTCTATTCTCTTCTGGTTCAGTTTGGAAAATTGAATCTGTTAAACATGAGAACAACATCTGAAAAGTC